GGTATACGACAAGAGCCTATGTTTTCGATTGTGATTTTGCATAAGCAATTATAGAATGAAATCTGTCGCATAAAATTTCAGCATATATTGCGCCATGACAGAGAATAAACTATCAAACAGACATTTTATATCACAGAAGGTGTTGCTTTGCACATTTTGGAGTAATTTACCCTTGAAAAGTGTCCTAAAAGATAAAAAAAACTCACTTTTGAGGTGCAGATATCTCATAAATAGGATCCCAATATAACTTTCATTTTAAAGACGAAAACCCATTAATATGTTACTTCACTCTGAATAAAATGTAGCCGATTAATTATCAGTATATTTGCACCTTGTGATTCCCAAATATGAATCACTTTTGGGTTTCAATTTTATCAATTTAGCCACGTTTGTATTTCCGAGAGCCACAAAATTTAAAACAAATCACTATTGAACTCCATCTGGATTCATATTCATTTCAAAGGTAAAATAAAACATATTAAATCACTGTTGTACTTCGTTTAGCCCCTTTTTTATTTCGAGAGTCCAAACATCTATACAAAATCACTATTGTAGTACAAGTAACAAAGTTCTTTCAAAATGAAAAAAAGTGATGTGAAATAAAAAGGTCATTATACATTTTAAATAAAAACACTTGTTCTTTTTAGACACTACACAGCTGCAAAAACTATGTTAGAGTCGACAAGCACCTTGTCTACTTAAGAGAGTATAATATGGATTTGATATATATGGATGTTTTGGACTCGGAAATTGAAATTGAAAATAAGTCAAGCTGGATTACGTGATATATATTATAAAGTCTTGAAATAAGACAAGGCTAAATCGATAAGATTGGTCATAAGAATGATTCACATTGGAAGATCACGTGTTGCAAACCAAGGAAGTTTATTGGTTACATTTCATATTACATGTGTGGAAAACTAACTGCTATGACACTTCTCAATTTTTTTTTTATTTATTTATTTTTTTTTTTTTTTTTTGAAGTTAAAAACATTTTTTGCAAGTCTTGTACAAATTTATGTACCTCCGAATAATAAAAAATGGGCCGATTTAAGCGAGAACATGTCACACCAAATCACCATTCTGCATTGCTTCAGAACCGCGGTGAACAAATGAAGTCTTTTTTGGGATTGAATATAATATTATGATAACGTGAAGAAAGAAAACTGTGCGCTTGTACTGCTTTAATTCGTCTTTGACAATAGAACTACCTTGGGAATATGAATTGGTATCGGTTTGTTTATATTGCCGCCATTCAACTCTGTAAGTGTTTTAGTTTGAAAATATTTTATTGTATAAATACATGTATACACACACTTTACAAGTTTATTACAATTTGCATTCCATATTGTTTAAGTATAAAGACAAAAAGATTGGGCAAAGAGTTAACAACACTACCATGGACTCCCTAAAGGCGGAATAAAATTAATTTGATAAATCTGATTATAGTGCTTTGATTTTAAATTTTCTATTGATAATTTACATTTTAGAACTAATTAAAGGTTCGAAATTTAAAAGATATCAAAGAAAATGGGTAAAATCACATAAAAATGAAAGAATAATTAAAAAATATAAAAATGTACTAAACACCATAAGCTATCTGAATGTCCTGTGATTATGAAAAGTCAATCATGCTCGATTTTAGGTGCGTGTACAAATTATATTTATGCCTCAGTATCTAATTAGTATCCAATTAAAAGTTCTAAATGAAACAAAATGTTCAAAGGCGTATTCTGCAGTAACATATAAACAAACAACAGATTGAGGACAACGCTCTCAATTTAATAGAATTTAAATAAACTTTGCATGATCTAAGAATATGGTCACAGAAACATTTAAAACGAAATAATATTTGGGTCAGCGACCGCGTTTTCGAAATATCCCTTGTCCCTTGATTTTTTTTATTTTATTTTTTTTTTTATTTTTTTTTTTTTTTTTTTTGATATCTCATGTCCTTTCAAGGAAAGGAAGAAATTTATACATTGCAATAATACAAACTATCACAGAACTCAGGTTTTTGTGTCCCCTTTGTTCACTGAGCCAGAAAATTATTTTAAAAAAAGCCATTTTAAAAAAAAAATGGCGAAGGTTTAAGTAAAAAGAAATTCATTAAAAGTATTCTCAGATCATGCTTATTAAATAAATTCTATTATCCAGTAGTCATTCAGCCTATACTGTATTATCATTTAGTTACAAAGAAATCTAATAGATTATATGTCTCTGTATTATTGATAGCTAATATACATGTATATATAATCTTTATTAAAGTTCGATTTATACAAAACAATATATGCAACATTTCAATCACAAATTATTAAACATAAAATAATAATATTGCTTGTACGGTCATTCTGATGAGAATTATAAGAGACTACACTCATAATGAAAAGGGAGACAACTCTTCGGCCCATACTGCAAAGTACTTACAATATATACTAAAGATTTTGCAAAGAACATCCTAGCAAAGTTCTTTAGGTTTAAGTAAATATCATACAATTTCTTGAACTGATTATCACATTTAACACACATATATTTATTTTTTAACAAAATCTTATTAAAGTATACCTGACAGTGACAAATATTAATATACATATTAAACAGTGCATTGACAATCTGAATAAATCCAAATATATCTATACGAGACTAACATAAGAAATATAACGTTTTGTTACATACATTATGATATCTATATCTCAACAGCTAAAAGTTATAACACTCTTGTTATCTGTTTATAAAATATACCACAGATTAAAAACAATATATAAACAATCTTATATTTAGCTCCATGAATATACATAAACAGGTCTTATAAAACACTGACCACTCAATACTATGATAAAACGTCATGTTATCTGATTTTAAAAAAAAAAGTTTAAAATATTGATCTAACTTAAGACTGATAGTTAAATTAAGTGAGGTTTTTAGACTGTCAAAAAGTAAGTTAATTAAAACATAAGTATGTTATTGTAATAATATGCGAGCCGCTATGTGGGTGTTACATTGCAAATAACCGTTTATACACAGTCATATTAATTATAAGCTGTTGGACTGTTACAAAAAAATGAGAAATTGTCGATTAAACTGAAAGTTTCACACAACTGGAAGTTAGTTCATTGTAAAATCTATTTCACAAATATATTTTCAGTCTTTGTTATTTTTATTTTGTACGAAAAATGTCTTAAAACGAACTATTTACAGGAAATAGACAACATGATACTGCGTACACTATCAAATGTTATTTTGTTACATAGTGTAAACAGTACAACAACATCGCCACGGAAATGAAATAATATTTTCTTTCGATGGTGTAAGATACATGAAATCATACAAATGATCAGACTATGACATCGGTTTTCCCTATGGACTTACATTATAATATATTATGAGAAATGGCACCTATTCCTACCTTAAACTTGAGTTTTCGTGCTAAAGGGAGAATGAAATGTCTGACTCATAAAAATGATATTGTTATATAGGGGTAGCCAACCAAATTTTTGGTAATTGACTTCAAAGAGAATAACCCCGTTTTTCATTGAAATTTTCTGCTGAATATACTTTTATAAATACAAATATCAAAGTCAAAATTATCGTATGAATATGAAATATTTCTTTGTTCTTAAGAAAATAATGTTATTTAGTTTCTAAATTAGTTTTAATATATAATGTCATCCCATTTTTATTCAATCACCTTATTTCCCATTGAAATTTACAGATTTCCCTGAAACTTTTCTGCCAATCGCTGGCCATGTTACAATACGATAGTCTGCCCTTTACAACAAAAAGTACACCGTGAGAATGACACAGTATTTATACTTAACTATTGCAACACTGTCGGGTACGTGAAACGGTGCAGATTGAATGTTGTAATTGCACAGATAATTTTATACAATTACTGCAATAAACAAGAGTATTCACTTCAGTATAAGTGCCTCTTGTACGGAGATTGACTAAACATTTAACCACTTCGCTCGGTTCAAATTTCATGTGCATTTATTTATAAAAAAATTTAGTAAAAAAATATGTCATATGTAACATAAATTGTAAACTTATTGATCTAATAGTGAATTTGTTTTTACGTTACATGCAAATATTCTTCTTTTACCTTTTTGTTGTTTACCTTTCTCAATCTTGAATGGAAGCACCGTATCACGGAAAATTTGCACCGTTTCACGTACCCGACAGTGTGCAAAGTGCATTTGTTTAGATAATAAAAAATACAAAATTTTCATATATATAATTTTTTGCACCGCATATACTTAGGCCCCGTCCGTGTTCATCTGATGTATTACAGAGATGCAACTCTAGAAGGACCGACATTAATGGAAAACACTGCACACTAATTTTGAATATTTAAAAGTCTCCAAAATGTAAATAATACAAAAGTCGTATACTGAGTTTGACGGTACCGTAAAATTGGGGTCACAATTTGAAATATAAACATGTAGTAATAATCGTAATAAAGAATTGCATTATCAGAAATCAGCAAATGTAGTTGTTAGTATTAAGCAATAATTCAGCATTGTGTTATGTTCCTTTACCAAGTTCTTCTAACTAATGTCCCTTAAAAGTTTGTACTTTAAAATAAAAATGTACAGCGTCTCCAACATCATTGTCTATGACTTTTTTTTTATTTTGTATCATCATATTAATCATCCTCTTCAAAGGTTATTTGAATCAATGAGGCAAATTCAAAAGACATTTGGTCAATAATTGGCATACCTCATTGGCCACCAATTGACAATATTGTAGTTCACATCAAAAACTGGTAAAAAATTGGTTTTAATTCGCAAGGTCCAGTGAGCAAATTATTTCGATTATATATGAGCAGCGTCACGACAAAATCAACATAGTGCGTATGCGACCAGCATGGATTCAGACCAGCCTGCGCATCCGCGAAGTCTGATCGGGATCCATGCTGTTCGCTATCAGTTTCTCTACTTGTAAAAGGGTTGGTTAGCGAACAGCATGGATTCTGATCAGATTGTGTGGATGCGCAGGCTGGTCTGGATCCATGCTGGTCGCAAACGCTCTATGTTGGTTTTGTCGTGACGCAGCTATAACAAAGCCCAAACATTATATATCAATAACGAATGGTTAGTTTGAAGCTGCACCAATTGAATTTGGACATCATGTTATATTGTTTCCGTCAAGTGACCTGCAGCATGTGGAATGGAAATTTAGCTGTGTGAAAACAAAATTTGACCCTTTCATGTCCATGAATTTTGCTCAGTTCTAGCAAAAGTCTCTTTTTATCTTCTTTTTGTAGCTGGTAAATAGCGTTTTTATGTTCGGTTTATTATTTTCTTGACTCTCTTTTTTATTTTATTGTTTTTTTTTTCTTTTTGGGTGATAGGGAAGGTGTTGGGGTTTGGTTTGGTTGTTTTTTTGGAGAGGGGGAGGGGTCAAAATAAGTCAAATAACTTTTTCAATTGTCAAATGTCGGATACCGCTTTCCAAAATGAACTCCAGTCATCGAATATGCTTGCCTTTTGTTTTTTACTGCGATATCTCTTTGCCCGTCTTATTAACCTGTTCAATTTTTGGGACATCTAAAATATATAAAAATAGATTTTATGGTTTCTTAAATAAAATATGAAATCGAAACTGCATATATACAATGTGTACCGTGTATAGTTTGCTAAATGTATCATAAAAATAAAATGTTGAGCTACATTGAAATATAAATAACATAAAAATAAAAATACATGTACAGTAAAATAAAATTAAAACATAATATATATTAATTTTATTGTTGACAAACATAAGCTCAACACAAGCGTTCTCGATTATTTCACTTAAAATGTTGAAAACAAGAGGACCATGGTGGCATTTTATTGCTCGCCTTAGTATATTGTACACATGAACAAGATATGTAAAGGACCTGTACAGTTTCATCAAAATCTACCAAATAGTCCAAGAGGAGATATCGTTTGAAGTTATTGTTTTTTCCTTGCCTTAGCTCTGGCGACCATCTAGTCTAGCAGACCGAAACCAAATGAGCAATTTGTCAAGGGGACTATCTGAGAATCATTCCTGTACAATTTGATTAATAGATAAAACCATCTTACAGTTAAGGAGGCGTTGTCGTTTAAAAGGTATGTCTATTTTAGCTCAGATAGCGATTTTTTCAGAAGACCGAAATATTTTACGCAACTTAAGTAAAAGACATCCGAATGACCATTTCCGTAAAGTTTCATCATAATCCATTGGGTGATTGAGGTGAAGATGTCATTTAACACTTTTTAAATTTTAAAATTATTTATTTATTTATTCATTTGTTTTGTTTATTTATTTATTTATTTATTTATTTATTTATTTATTTATTTATTTATTATTCTGGCGGTCATGTTGTTGCAGATCAGAATAAAATGAGCAAATTTTGAACAGGTCTATCTGTTAAAGTTTTATCACTATTGGTACAAGAGATATTGTTTAAGTAGGACACATGGGTATCACAATAGCTCACTTTAAGCACATTGTGCTCAGGTGAGTTAAAAGGAGAATCGTGTATTTCCGCTGAAATGGAACTGAAATATACCTAGCCACCATTATCGGTATGAAAAAGTGTCCTGGTGCCAATCTTAATGTTCTATGCAAAGAAAAACTCCTCATTAAAAGTTTAGAAAGCATAAGTAGGAGACAAAAAACATTTTTTTAGGATTTTGAACTTCTAATTTGGAAATTAAAAAAAAATTAAAAAAAAACTAATAAGGACATATTTTTCTAATTAAGGAAAAAGTAGGAGTTTGTAAGACCTAATAAGTAGTTTCAAAACGTTCATTTAATTTAGACATTGTTTCTCCTAATTAGGCTTTTATAATCCGTATTAGTAGTAACAAAGTTTTAATTGGCATTTTATTCATTTAAAACTAAGGACGCTTCCGTACCGGTGTATATAAGTAAGGAGTTTGAAGTTCAGTTGCATGTTAACACTTGTAGCGTTACTCTTAACATTCCATCCCATTATCGAAGTCAAAACTTCTATTGCAACAATCGTTAAAATTCTTTAAAGGATGTTTCCTTATCTTTAACATAGGCAAGAGAAGGAAATTTTAAAGTAGTGAACAGAAAATTGCTACGAAGACATCCTTTGTTCCAACAGAACTTTCATATTCTCAGTAAATATCCATTAAAGTAACTGCTTGTCATTCACAAAATAGCACTCAGCGCAAGTTAAAACATTCAATTCCAACTTCATCATGCTTTTTGCTAACTGTTAATGTCTTCAAAATATCAAATTTCAACTCAATTTCCAGAGCGAGTGATCACGTAACATTTGTTTCTGGTGACAGTTGGTCACGGCCAATGATTTTTGTTTTTTTTCTTTATATTTTTTAAAACATTGGGTAATAAACACACAACGTATTGTAGGCAAATATTTTTCGATTTAATGGTGCATATCTTTTCAATGTAGCGTTTGTTCTTTTCACGATATGCTTGTAGAAATTGTGATACATATTTTCATCGAATCATTGCTGCATAGAAAAGTTCTGTAAGCATACCGGGAAAAGTAGCACAGCTACAGTAATAGAGCTACAGTGGAAAGGTATGTGCAACTGGAACTGGCATATATTTACCTGGAACATAGTATATGTTTACCAATTTAACGCAGAAAATAGCAAATACCATAAGCGGTGGCACAATGCTATACAAATGCCACGTGGATTCAAACCCTGTCAGGAGTAACAAGCCGTTGTTTCCTTTAGTTTAAGTTTATAGCTTCCAACACAATCGAACTAAAATAAATTCGTAAAAACTACCCAAGTTTTCAACGAAAACTGGTTAATCTTATGTCGAAGTCGGCGGGCCGATGTGCGTCAACTTTTGGTTTCCGCTCAATAACTTAAGTTTGCTTTGGCCTATTGACACTAAACTTGGTGTATTGGTAGCTTATACCAAGAGACAGCTTGGGATTGCTATCAAGGTGTCTGTGATTAAGGTCAAGGTCCCTGTTGCTAATAACTTGCTTTATCGGTAGCTTATATAAGATGCAGCTTATGATTGCTACTTAGATATCTGGGAGCAAGACAAGGTCACGTGCTTACAAGAGTATTTTCAGCTTCTAATCAATAACTTCAGTACACTTTGACTTATTGACTTAACTTGACATGTGCGTTGCTTACATGACAATCAATTATCATAGTACTGCTAGCAATCCATAAGTCCCCTACCGGTTAGAACCCCAGAAACATTCTGACTGGCCATTGGTCATTCACTTATCGTCACCTGAGTGGTAAAAGGACATAACTAACATTTTTGCGAAAAATCAGATTTAAACATTTCTGTGATACATGTAGCAATGTGCATATTCTGTAAAAATATCTTGGCTATATTCCATTTATTGACTTTGTTATTGATTAGAAATCAAAGGTCATAACATCTATTTTTAAATTTTAATGAGCGGTAAAAGGTCTTAAGTGAAAACAAATTAACGGAAAAAAGGCATATTTGACAAATATGCCCATTTCATTCTCAACATTGTTTGCAAAACGTATGCGAAAACTGATGTATAAGGTAGTATTTGCCAATTACGCCCTTTTCCTTCTAAGCAAAACACTCAATGTGAAACATATGCCCCCTTTATTTGAACTAATTAGCAGCGTAATAAATTATGGAGAATATCATTTCAGTACAGCACAGTTGTTTGTAATGACAAGAGAATTTCACTAATAACATACATTTTCCACATTCAGTTGTTTATGTTTACAAGAAGGAATCATAGATGAAAAAAATCAGGTTTGTACAATTTCATGAAATTCTTTGCAAAATAATTAATTTGTAAAATAGTTTGTTTGAAATTTCAAGAGTTAAGATGTATAAGTGAATGGTCAGATGATGAGATGTGCTTTGCTATTAATGTGGCTGTCAACAAAGATAAATTATGTTAAACAATGTTGAAGAAAATAAACTTTATGACTGGAAATGCTTATACATGTACAATATTACTGTTATTGTCTATGAAAGGTGGGAGTTTAATCGAGTTGCTGATTAAACTCATCAACTCTTAAAGTCATCATCATAAGTAATAAGCATACTATAAAAGGACCAGGAAAGTCATGTATACTTTATGAAACCTTACCACTGCATATTTACTTATGTGATTATGATTCAGTAAATGCATTTAATTAAATTTATCACATGTTTTATTCCATATTCTTCATTTCAGACAAAGAAAGTTAAGACGAGCAACATGTACATGAACATGAAATACATGGTAGTCAAAAGGAGCAGCAGGTAAATCAATCTGAAATACAGCCTAGTAACCAGGGGCAACATGTGAATGACCAAGAAAACCAGACTAGTGACGAACGTGTGAATAAATATGAAACACGTGCAAGTAACGTGGAGCAGCACATTAATAAATATAAAAAAACAAGCTAATAATGAGGTACAACACATGAATGAAAATGAGTACACGATTTTAATAAGGAACAACACATTAATGAACATAAAATAAGAGGCTAGTAACGAAGTACAACTTGTGGATGCAAATAAAAACAGACTAATAACGAGGGAGAATGTGTAAAGAACATGAAAATGAAATACAGGGTCAAAACGTGAATGACAATGAGATACGTACTAGTAACGATGGTCAACACGGGAACAAACATGAAAAGCAGACCAAAAACAAGGGACAACATTTTAATGAACATGAAATACAGGATAGCAGCGGCGGACAAAACGTAAATGAAATCAATTTAATGGACACCTTTACAGAGATATCAAATTGATTAGGAAACTAGAGTGAACTTTGTTTATACATTTCTTCTGATGACGATATACCACTTTCAAAGTTACTGGAACATAATTTTGAAGGAAAAGAAAGGAAGTCTGTTCGGCGAAAGTTAATCAATACAGATACTGAGGGGGATCTTGCGAAATTGCGACTTGTTTGTTGAAAACTTAAGAATCATAATGTTTATCGGAAGCTACTGAAGTAACAAACTATTCAGACACATGCGGTGGCCAAAATAGAAATAGATTTGTTACTGCATCATATTTATACATGATTGCTAAATAACCCATTTTGAAAGGTTTCAACCAAAGTTTTTACAGTCAGGCCACAGTCAAATGGAATGTGATGCTGTCCATTCTACAATTAAACATGCGAAGAAGAAAATATCCATCTATGTCCCTTCTCAATGGAGCACTGTGATAAATATGGCTAGAAAATCAAACCCTTACATGGCAGTTCCATTGAAGTTTGTACATGTTCTTAATTTCAAAGCTTTTGTTTCAAAGTACAAGCTGAACTTGCAAAAACATCCGATGGCAAACTTATCAAATGGCTAAAAGTACGATGGATTAGAGTTACAAAACAGAATCCTACACATATTTTGGTAAACTATAGTTTCGATGAGAAGGAATTTCAGACTGTTGACACAATGCAGATGTCAACAAGAAACAAAGGCAGACCAAAACATTGTCCCAAAACGACACTGAAATCGAAATGTGCTACAATTCCCGTCTTGAACTTTCAGTGCAGAAAAAGACTGATCTTGTAAATCTTTGCACGGAGGAAATTATTCCCGAGGAGTTCCACCCATATATTGCTAGCTTACCAACAAACAAAACCAACAAAGACTTCCTTCCTGAAAATTCAGTGTATGAAGATGAAGAATATTTAAATTGGTGAGCAATTTACAATAACTGCTAACATTGTAACAGACGAATTAAATAGTATTGTTCTATATATGTATAGAAATTTAAGTGAGAAAAATCCCTGATTGATTTTGTGTTTAAAAGTTGAGATGTATTAGAATGGCATCTTGAAAACAGACAATCGTGATTATGTGACGAAATTATGGCGGAACTGTAAAAGTTTTATTTTTGTTACCCTTGAAAACTTGTATGGATTTTACGCATTTATCATTTAATACTTGAACACTTTCAAACGGGTATATATTTTTATTCCATTGCTTACAGGACTGTAAATGCCATCTTTTAGTAATTGTGACCCATTATTCATAATACATATATAAAGAACCGTTATATTCAATGTATTGCAAAAGAAATTATAGTTTTTAATTTTATTGTGAATGTGCACGATTTCAGATAAAAGTAAGTGGTAAAAGGTCAGATGTGTCATGTCACCCTAAGCATGTGTAAGTTTTGTGTATTTGTTAAGAATGAAAGGGTAGTATTCGTCAAAAACTACCTTATAAAAATGAACAGCTATTCTATAAACTTGAAATCCCTTGGCGGCATAAGGTCATATTTGCCATATGCAACCTTTTCATTCTAATGTCTTAAGCAAAAAGTAGTAGGAGAAAAAGGGCGTATGTACATAATTGATGATATTGATTGATTGATTAGATATTTTGTATGTTTGTATATTAGAATATAAGGATGAGATAATAACATCTAACATAAGAAAATAATTTTTTTCTGATTTCAAGTTTTGATTTTTTTAAGCAGGTACAAACCTTTAATCTCTGTTCCTGAAAATTATGAAAAGTGCACTTACGACCTTTTACTTCTTAGGTTTTTTTTTGTGCTCAGGTGAGCTAAAAGGAGAATCGGATTTTGCCGCTGAAATGGAACTGAAATATACCTAGCCATCATTATCGGTATGGTGCCAATCTTAATGTTCTATGCAAAGAAAAACTCCTTATTAACAGTTTAGAAAGCATAAGTAGGAGAAAAAAAAACATATTTAGGATTTTGAACTTATAAGGACATATTTTTCTAATTAAGAAAAAAGTAGGAGTTTGTAAGACCTTATTAGAAGTTTCAAAACGCTCATTTAATTTAGACATTATTTCTCCTAATTGGGCTTTTAAATTCCGTATTAGTAGTAACAAAGTCTTTATTGGCATTTTATTCTTTTATCACTAAAGACGCCTCCGTACCGGTGCAAATAAGTAAAAAGTTTGAAGTTCAGTTGCATGTTTACACTTGTAGCGTTACTCTTAACATTCCGCCCCTATTATCGAAGTTAAAACTTCTATTGCAACAATCGTTAAAATTGAGGCAACGTGTAATTTTAAATGAAATTCTTTAAAGGATGTTTCCTTATCTTGAACATAGGCAAGAGAATTTAAAGTAGTGAACAGAAAATTGCTACGTTCCAACGGAACTTTCAAATTATCAGTAAATACCAATTAAAGTAACTGCTTGTCATTTACAAAATAGCAGTCAACGCAAGTTAAAGCATTCAATTCCAACTTCAGCATGCTTTTTGCTAACTGTTCATGTCTTCAAAATATGCAATTTAAACTCAATTTCCAGAGCGAGAGATCTCGTAACATTTGTTGCTGGTGACATTTGGTCACCGCCAATGGTTTTGCTATTTTTTCTTTATATTTAAAAGAAAATGAGTAATAAACACACAACGTATTGTAGGCAAATATTTTTCGATTCCATTGGTGCATATTTTTTCAATGTAGCGTTTGTTCTTTGTAGAAATTGTGATACAGTACATTTGAGTAAAAACTACCCAAATTTTCAACGAAAACTGGTTAATCTTATGTCAAAGTCGGCGGGCGGATGTGCGTCAACTTTTGGTTTCCGCTCAATAACTTGAGTTTGCTTTGGCCTATTGACACTGAACTTGGTGTATTGGTAGCTTATACCAAGAGACAGCTTGGGATTGCTATCAAGGTGTCTGTGATCAAGGGCAAGGTCCCTGTTGCTAATAAAAATCAGTTTCCGCTTAATAACTAGAATAGTGACACCAAATTTGATGTATGTTTAGCTTATATCAAGAGGCAGATTGCTACACAGGTGTCTGTGATCAAGGTCATGGTCACTCCTGTTAAAATTAAGAATTCACTTTCCACTCAATAATTTGAGTTTACTTAGGCTTATTGACACCAAACTTGGTGTATGGTTAGCTTGTATCAAGAGGCAGCTTGGGATTGCTACCCAGGTAGTTGCAATCAAGAACAAAGTCACTGTTGCTCAAAATATAAATTCAGTTTCCGCTCAATAACTTCAGTTAGCTTTGACCTATTAACAGCAAATTTAGTATGTGGATAGCTAATATCAAGACGCAACTTTGTATTGCTACCCATGTGTCAATGTCACTTTTGCTTAAAAAATCAGTTTTCACGTAATAACTTTATAACTTGAGTTGCTTTGACCTATTGACACCAAACTTGCTTTATTGGTAGCTTATATTAAGATGCAGCTTATGATTGCTACTTAGATATCTGGGAGCAAGAGAACGTCACGTGCTTACAAGTGTATTTTCAGCTTCTAATCAATAACTTCAATACACTTTGACTTATTGACTTAACTTGGCATGTGCGTTGCTTACATGACAAGCAATTATCATAGTATTGCAAGCAATCCATAAGTCCCCTACCGGTAAGAACCCCAGCAACATTCTGAAGGGCCATTGGCCATTCACTTATGTCTCTAATTTGTTGAAAAAGTTCTTTAAAAGTGATAACAGGAAACAGTTTTTATGTACAGATAGACAGACGGATTGAAGGACACTCTAAAGTTATTTTTTAAACACCCCTGTTATCAAATATAACATTTTTAAAAGCAAAATTCTTAAAAAGGAGCTAACTCTTGAAATAAAGATGCAAGACGTCATACATGATGTAAGTGTAACAAAAGCAATTAGTAATGAAGGTGTTGATAATGAATGTTTATTTTGAATTTGAAGTAAAAGAAACTTAGAAGAATTAATAAAAAAAATCAAAGTTTAATGAGGAGATTATTCTGGAAATATGGATGCTAGATATATAAACCTTGTCATATTATTATGATGTGGGAGTTTGAAGAAAAAGATCCTATAATGATTGGAAAAGTTGTGGTAAAAATTACCAATTTCTCGAAGTTCAAAAGGGGCATAATTCTGGAAATAGTCTTGCTAGAGTATTGAACTTTTTCACAAATGTTGAGTGATAATAAGAAACATATATATGAAGTTTGAAGTAGATGAATTTAGAAAAACAGAAGTTATCAAAAAAAAATATTTTTTCATGAAAATTCTGAGTTCAAGGAAGAAAATTCTGATAAATTTTGTGCTAGAGTTGTAAACCTTGTCACATATGATGTGGTTGATGACTAGAAACCTATATTTAAAGTTTGAAGAAAATACCATAAGAAAAAAAGAACTTATAGTAAAAAAAAAACGTTAAAAACTAGAATCAGAAATCTTGAAATTCAGTCTATTTGTTGCCATAGCAAACAGAATTTTCAATAAAGGAAGAAAAGAAAAGAATGTGCATAATCTCCAGACTGCTATCTACTCATATTTCAAGTCCATTAAAATGTTTTCAGTACTTTTCGCGTTATCACTGGATCCAGGTTATGTGTAAATGTTACATGTTATGTTATGTTATGTGTAAAATTTGCCATATTAACGTTTATGAATCATGCAGCTAGGTGAATTTTTATGCCCCCGTCCCCCGAAGGGCAGCATAAAGTAATCGCACTGTCCGTCCGTCCGGTAATCTTGTCTGCGCTTCAATTCCAAAACTGCTGGGGGATTTCAGTGAAACTTCATAGGATTGTTTGTCACCATCCCTAGTTGTGCATGTTATCCTGATTTTTCTTTTGGCACATTTATGAACCCTAAATAGTCAATAAGTCCAGTGAAGTGCTTCATCTCCAAAGCCTCACGGTGGTGAAATTTCAGTGAAACTTCACAGGATTGTTTGTCACCAAGCTTAGTTGTGTATAGTATTTTTATTTTTAATAAATCAACTCTGTCCATCCTTTCATCTCCAAAACCACTTGGGAAATTTCAATGAACATTTATAAAATTATTTGCATGATTTCATAATTTTCCCAGCTGGTTGTGCATTGTGACATCATTTTGTGCATAAATTTTTGTCGCACATATATGGGCCTTTTTTGAGTAAAATTTGTTTAGAATATTTCTCTCCTACACTTTAAATGGAATTTCAATGAAATTTTAGCAAAAACGGTCGGGCGTGTATTACCGGTATTTGGCATAAACTGCGGCTTTATGTCAAAGTTTCCTTTCGGGGGTATAAGTCACTTTTCAGTGGTGACAACTTTTGTTTCTTGATGACTATTTCATAATGATTTTACCATTTTTGACCAGACAAATGTGTCGAACGTATGTATGTAAAAGGGGATAAAAGGAAGATCGGTATGTAACAAAGACTATCGTATCAACAGGTGGAGTTTTATTCTTGAGTGTATTTGCATATACACGAGTAAAATGGTTGTCAGTAATTTCTCACGGGGTATGTTGCTGTTAAGAATTTGGTAAATCTAGGAAAGTTTAGTATAAGAATAGTTTGATATAGTATGATATAATGAAAAATCCAACAATTTACCTCTTCAAACAAGACTTCTTCAATTCCCTTCTCAACCATAATCTCAATCTTAAATATGAAGAAACAAATATCAACACTTCACAAAATACATAACGATGAAATTCATATACGTGTTTTTTAATGTCATTAATATTGTTAAGATAAATGTGGTATATATTGTGGTATATATTTTAGTTTTCAAAGCTACAAAATGTATAAGTTGTATGGAAATTAAGTCAGCACTGTGAAATCCACGTAAATATCTTCCGGTTTTACTAAACATACATAATTTAAGGGACTGATTAACTAGACATCAAAGTTCTATTTTGTTTTTCCAAAACCCTGTTAAAGAAGAAACATGTCATTATTTTAGAAGAATACTAATTCCCCGATCAAGATAATATTGTCGCCTGATGATAGAATTATGACCTTCCAATGCAAAGTAAAATGACATGCGAAAAACAAATAATTACACAAATAGATTGGTAAAAATTGCACATACGGACTAAGACATGTAATAAAAAGATTGTTTATACAACACTTTTACCTAAAACAATTACATGTACCTCAAAACACAATAAATATACTAATTATTATAGGTTTTGTGTAAAAGAATATCCATATGTGTATTTCTAATAAATGAAATTGCCAGCATTTAAAAAGATGTGTGAAAGTGAAAGATCATAATTAAAAATTAATGAGCATTTTCGGCGTATTTCTTGATTCCTACCCCCCTGCACACCCTACCTCATTCCAAGAAGAAAAATCTTTTTTTTGCATAACAATGAATATGACAATAAAATATCATTAAGAATCGCACAATTCAAATGTTATACCATTGTCATGCATTTGTGATAAAGTGCATGCCCAAAATGGAAAATTTCATGATATAGCTTGGACCTTTTACAACACCCTGTTCCAATATAATGCACGACAGGTACTCTGTATACATCCGGTGTGCCGTTGTCATTGTTTATCTGAAAATGAAAAGATAATTTCAAAACCTGTAAAATGACTTCAGTTATTCAAATTCCTGGTTCATTAATGATAGACACCTACACAATAACTATTGTACCTTATGGATGAAAAAAGTGCCACAAACTTTTTAATTCACCATTTTTATTCGTGTGTGTGTTTGCTCTCTGGTGAAAAAAAATCATCCGAAGTTCCTGATGTGGAAGAAATCATAATAGATAAGCAGCAAAAGTTGAATTAATAACCAAGATTTAGATAGAATCGTGGACAGTGCTTTGATGGCATCTCTGAAATATGATGTTATTTGACTAACTTAACATTGATTTATTTATCAAGCATCTTCCACGTTTCAGTTTTGTGAAAATATAAGAAATTAATTACCTTTTTAAATGTATTTTTGTAATACGGTTCTCCGTCTAGTTGTAGTTTTACTCTCCACGGATGAATGCAGGCCTATTTATTTAAGAAATAAAATGTATCTACATATGAAAAAAACAACAATTCTATTACATGGTTCTTCGTGAAAAAGTGATAAGGACATTGATAAAACAGTTTTCACATAAATGGAGTCAGTAAAGTATTCTTAAATAGAAGCCTTAAAGTTGGCCAAAAATGGAACATTTAATAATGTAAAAATCATATTATTAACCCTGTTTATGAGCCGATAGTGATAACTACAATATATAGCTCATGCGGCCATGCCCTCTAGCACCGGCGTGAGCAATATTTCATATCTAAACATGAAAATTTAGTTTTACAGATTTAAATAACATCAACAAATGTGTTCATATGGTGCTTGTATTTGTTTATGTTCTGATTCAATGCAAAATCAAATATTTTATTAATAGATGTTTTTTTTTTTTCAGGATTTGTAATAAAGAAAAATCATCAATAAAATTACTCCTTTAGAAAGAACATCTGCCGATTCATGATCATATCGATTTCGGCTCAAATTTGACAGTTGCTGTGTTGACATTTGTTTATCATAACTGTTTTTGGAAAGTGTTGTGTTGATAACATAATTTTGATTGATGATAAAGTTTTAAGGAACAGTTAAACTATTAATTTTGAGCTTAACCGATGGAGAGAAACTTCAAGTGCCCCTTCTGCAATGTATGTTTTACCTCCTCCTACATATTACCTGACAATTGTCACTCTTCGGTGGTCCTGTATTCCTGGAATGTTGCTTTCCCGTTAAATACTCAGATTCTGTACGGTTTCTATAGTTATACTTTGGATATCTCTCTAAGTCGTTCTGAAGCAGGCAGGAAATAAAGTATTTTGAATTATATACCATTGCATGATTTAATTATAGTTGTTTACTGATAATTAAATGCAATGTTCCATTTTTTTATCAATCAGAATGGGACGATTTGTCAATTATTAAAAGTTTCATTGGCATGGAGCTAAATATATTATTATATATATATATATATATATATATAATTATATATTATATATATATATATATATATATATATATATATATATATATATATATATATATATATATATATATATATATATATATATATCTGTGTTTATGGTAAACTTAGTTTAATAAATATGCATATGTAATACAATTAACTCTGGCTTGAAATATCTTGACCTGATTAAAAGTATCAGATTTCTCTCCTGATACAAGTGTAACATTATTACTTTTCTCTCTAGAAAAGACAACCTGTCCAAACAGGCCATCTCATTATTATCAAATATGACCAAATTTTGTATAATTGAAATAAAAAAAAGATGAAAGTCCGTCTGAAATATGGAGGGCGTTCGATGCCAAAATCCTAGACATGTAAAGTGCTCCTTTGAAAACGTCTTTTGAAAATGCGAACGTGTATGTCTAGCATTTTTGACTGTATCCGTGCACAGCAAATAAAATGCCTCTTAATTCAAACTTTTTATTGAAGGTTCCGGCTTTTGATAACAAGTTGACATATAGATCTAAACAACTGAACTAACATGAAAAGAAAAACAATACATGTTCGTATCTTCCATTGCATATAATACATAAGCAAGTTTGCATAATTATATCTGTACCTGAGACAAGACAAAACTATCGTAATCGTATGAACCCGAAAGTGATGCAAGGGAAGATATGATTTTTTTTTCATATTAGATCAGTTGTTTAGATCTATATGAAAACTTGTCATTTAAAAGCCGGAACCTGCAACAAGAGGGCCATGTTGGCCCAAGATCGCCCACCTGACCCATCGAACTTATCCGAGCAATTACCTAGACAAGCATTCTGACCAAGTTTCATGACAGGTGAGTCAAAAATGTGACCACTAAAGTGTTATCAAGGTTTTTCCATATTTGAGCAGTGTCACCTAGTTTTTGACCCCAGGTGACCCATATTCAAACTTGACCTAGAAATCATCAAAACAAACTTTTAGACCAACTTTCAAGGATATTTCGATCAAGAGTGATAACAAGATTTTTTTTTATTTTTAGCTCTTGAGACCTACTTTTTCATCCGAGATGACCCATGTTCGAACTCATCCGAGCAATTACCTAGACAAGCATACTAACCAAGTATGATGATGATTGAGTCAAAAATGTGACCACTAGAGTGTTAACAATGTTTTTGCATATCTGGCCGGTGTGACCTTGTTTTTTGATCCTAGGTGACCCATATTCGAACTTGACCAAGTAGTCACCAAAACAAACTTTCAGACCAATTTCCAGGATATTTCGATCAAAACAGTTGTAACTAGAGTGTTAACAAGATTTTTCTATTTTTAGCTCCTGTGACCTAATTTTTTCATCCGACATGACCCATTTTCGAACTCATCTTAGCAATTACATGGACAAGCATCCTGACCAAGTTTGATAACAATTGAGTCACAAATATGACCACTAGAGTGTTAACAACGTTTTTCCATATTTGGGTGGTGTGACCTAGTTTTTGACCCAAGATGCTCATAATTTAACTTGACCGAGATATCATCAAAACAAACTTTCAGACCTATTTTTAGGATATTTTGATCAAAACAGTGGCTACTAGAGTGTTAACAAGATTTTTCTATTTTTAGCTCCTATGACCTAGTTTTTCATTCAAGATAACCCATGTTCGAACTCATCCGAGCAATTACTTAGACAAGCATCCTCACAAAGTTTGATGATGATTGAGTCAAAAAAGTGACCACTAGAGTGTTAACAAGGTTTTTCCATATCTGGGCGGTGTGACCTAGTTTTTGACCGCAGGTGACCCATATTCGAACTTGACCTAGTAATCACCAAAACAAACTTTCAGACAAATTTCCAGGATATTTCTATCAAAACAGTAGTCATAGAATGTTAACAAGATTTTTCTATTTTTTAGCTCCTGTGACCTAGATTTTTCATCCGAGATGACCCATGTTCGAACTCATTTAAGCAATTACATATACAAGCATCCTGACCAAGTTTGATAACAAATGAGTCAAAAATATGACTACTAGAGTGTTGACAACGTTTTTCCATATTTGGGCGGTGTGACCTAGTTTTTGACCCAAGATGCTCATATTCAAACTTGACCGAGAAATCATCAAAACAAACTTTCAGACCTAGTTTTAGGATATTTTGATCAAAACAGTAGCCACTAGAGTGTTAACAAGATTTTTCTATTTTAGCTCCTATGACCTTGTATTCAATCAAGATGACCCATGTTCGAACTCATACGAGCAATTACCTAGATAAGCATCCTGACAAAGTTTGATGATAATTGAGTCAAAAATGTGACCACTAGAGTGTTAACAAGGTTTTTCTTTTTTTAGCTCTTGTGACCAATTTTTTCATCCGAGATTACCCATGTTCGAACTCATCCGAGCAATTAACTAGCAAAGCATCCTGACAAAGTTTGATGATGATTGAGGCAAAAAAGTGACCGCTAGAGTGTCAAATGTTGACGGACAACGGACATTCAACGATCCTAAAAGCTCAACCTGAGCTAGCTTAGGTGATCTAATAAAAATTTTGGAGTAAGAGGCATTTTATTTGCTGTGCGCGAATACAGTCAAAATGCTAGACATACACAAGTAAGTGTTCATTTTGCCGTGCTTTGTCAATTGGACGCGGGAAAATTATACTTAATGTCTACGTATGCTTCAATTGTCGGTTCTTTCCATGACGTCTGTCATCGTCTGCTATTGTTTGTTATCGGATGGTCCAGTAACGTACGCTAATTGGAAACTCACAGATATGTCCGAAAAAATTCAATTGTGTGCGTATCTCGTGAAATTTTGTGAACTGTTTTAGTATATCTAATCGTGTTGTACGTTGTATGAAAGGGATTTGAGAGAAAATTTTACACTGCTTTTTAACATTTCCTTTCTTCCAAACTCACGCTAACTATCCTTTTGCATAACACTTCGTCTTTACTCTCTCTTGAGTATACCTGTAGATATACTGATTTATTGATATATAAATTGTGTTTATCTAATAGAACTTTTGATAAAATACAATGTATATCTTTTTATTAAGTTATTTTTATTCTTAATTGAGACTTTGTAGCTTTTCTCATTAAATTTTACGAACCTACGTCAGAAATTTTAGTATTTATTCGGCATTGGTGGCCAGTGTGGTCGAAGACAAGCCATAGTGTCTGGACAGTGGAGGTGACATGAGTTTAAGTCGGAAGACAAGAGCATTCTAGCGAGCTAGTCTACGGCACATATTTTCCGAGATCTGAGGAATTTGGGGGAGCGCCGTTAGGACCACGATATTTGATGAACCAGGAAATATTTAATTCAGAGAATTGGAGAATCATATATGTGACAATTTTATGCTTCATATGTTTAATTTGTGACATCTAGTACTAGTGTTATTTAAATATTAGTGTGCACACTCGCACATTCAGTATCGATCTATATTTTTACAAGAATTTCTACGACTTGAACTTATTTCGGACAGCCGGATGACTGATGCAGGATTGAGAAAATGGAAAAACTTTTGATTTTCCTAAATTTCCTGATTTATAAAATTTTGAATAACGCTGCACAGTCTTTACAAAATGATTATTATTATTGCTTTCCATGGATTCGTTTTGTTGAACAGGTTTAAGATAGTTTGGGTGTTTCGCACTGTTTTAACAGGCAAAGCATTATTAGTTTTAAACAGTTTAAGAATGCTGTTAAGTTGAGACTGTATGATCAGTTTGTTCAGGAATGGTACAGTACAATAAAAATATCACCTAAATGTTTAGAATACCGCATCTGTTAAACTAGGTTCTGCTTTGAAAATTATTTATATATCCTGTCTGTTAATCAAAAGTTTATGCAAATTTAGAACAACGAATCATTGTCTGTCAATACAAAAGGGTCGGCATTTTGGTATTCAGGGACACATGAAAAAATGTCCTTTTTGAGAAAAAATATAACTGGAGATGAGTTTAACTTATTTTTGGATTGTGTTCATTCTAATGATAGTAGAAATAGATATATTGATAGGAGTTATCGGCATCATCCAACTGCATTTAAGTTAAATCAACTTCTGAACTGAACTGCAAAGCAAATATAACCAAACTAGAATTGTTTTGTAAAGTTATTATTAATGTTGTCAAATAGTTTCTTACTGTTGTAACTATTGTCAAATCAATTCTGGTTCATCATCTTATTACTTTTCATAACATCACTTTGTTACCATTTGATATTAGAAATAAAAATCTGGCGGTCATGTGGGTTGTGGAGTTGTATAAAAGGTTGTGTACTGTTAAAATCTTTGTTCTCTTTTTTCCTTGTTTGTGTGTTTTGTAGTTTGTCACTTTCTTCGAACAACTTTGACAATTTTGTTTATGTTTTTTCTTTTATATTCACGTCTAATGCATATTACATGTATGTGCCTGATGAATGAGTAAAATCTTGAAATCTTGAATGAATAATTAGCAGGTATCTCTTGCTATATATTGAATTGGACTCTTGTTTGTGTTTATAATGTTTAGGATTTTATTGGATGTGATATAGATGAGGATATAGTTTTGTTATTCGTGTCATTGATTTAGTTCTAGATATAGTTTATATACAGAACAACACAGCGTCTTAGGGTATTTTTTGTATTTGCAGTATTTTTCTGAAAATTTAGGGTATGTTATTTCTACATCATTTGCTTTAAAACGTTAGGGTGTATTTAAATTATTGAGTTGTCCCAATCTATTTTAACCTGGTGTATATTGTATACATGTATGTTTAATCTTAATAATATCTTATAATGTAATGCACATGTCCATTATCTTCCCGCCACTTATATACTTGGAACATTCAGTGGTCATAA